AAGTAAAGCCGCGGAAATCAAGGCCGCGCCCTCACTCTCGCTGAATCAAACGCAAGCACACGCCCCGCACTTTCATTAAGTGTCCTCTGTCTGCTTCGTTCTTCTCCAATAATGTCCGCTGATTGCAAAACCTCGTTAAAATAAGGTAAATACAACTACTAACCACATAATCAACATTATGAAAAAAGTCCGCTGGTGCTTCAGTGACTACCTCGCACAGAGAACCTGTCAATCACAGCTGTCAATCATGATGTCAGAGCGCCGTTATTTTATCATCACATAACTAACTAAAAACAAACTTATTTTAAAAAACGAACACTTGAAATTACATCAACGTGATAGAAACTACAGCAAATGACAGAAACTATCTTTGGAAAAAGGAAATGTGAAGTGTAATTTAATTGTTTAGTTGGTCTCGCGTCCCATTGAATAACACGGGGAGGCGGGGGTTATGAGCTATACTAGGTCCGGTCACAGGGGGGCGATCGAGACATTTTGGCTTCACTTTTGAGGGCTTGTGCGGCACGCTTGGATTTTAAGCCATGTTTTAGCCAGATTTTCAGATCGTTGAGCTCGCCGACAGGTCAGGGTGTTGTCGCGTGCAAATCGCGGGGATTAGCGGGCGATAAACGCTCACCAATCTGTTATTATGAAAAAGTCAACAACGCATCAAAGACACTCGCAGATGCGTTGCCGAGAACAGAAAAATAGGCTATCTAGCATGGGGTGCGTTTCCCGAAAGCATCGTTAGCCAACTATGGTCGCAAGTTCCGTCGTTATCAGCATAGTTTAACGAGTCGGTGTTTACCGCAACCATCGTTCCAACGAACATTCGCAAACAGCATCGCAAAGTTGTGTGGTTTGAATGACAGCTCTCGACCTGTCCCAGACAGCAAACTGACATTGAATCAACGTGGAAACGACGTCTCTCATGACATTGAAACAACGTTGATTTTGCTCATCGAATTAACGTTGAACCAACGCTACATTCTTCAAAGCTAAATGAAAATTGGTTTGCTTTCATAACGTCAAAACAACGTTGATTTCAAGTTGATTTTCCGTTAGTTTTGAAAGAATGACGCGTCTGACGTTGGTTCAACGTTAATTCGATGAGCAAAACAATGTCAGATCAACGTTGTTTCGATGTCATGTTTCCACGTTGATTCAATGTCAGTTTGCTATCTGGGGTGGTTGGAGGCATCGTTTCTATATTTCTATAATAAGCAAGCTGACATTCAGTACAACCGGTGCCTTTTATTTAGAATACATACAAATGTAATTTACGTCTTTTAGTTTTTCAAAAGATTTAAAGTACCGTGTTTGAAGAGTGCGCATGTGCGAACGTGCTCTACTATGTAAGAACGAGCCAAATATTGAGTCTGGTAATAAAGCAGAACAACTGAGAACAATTAGAAATAGTCCTCAGATGACATGTCTGTAATTTATATTCTAGCGTTAATTGGATCTCAAACAGCTTCATTAAAAGTAGTTATTTCTCCACCACGTGCGAAACCAACGTGGTTGAACGATACTTTGCGACAGTGGGTTTCGGGAAACAGTCGCGACCAGCTAGTTGATTTTTCCAACGATGCATCGTACTATGGTAGTGAAACAGCGAACTACGTCGTTGTACGGAAACGCACCCCAGAGATGTCACGACTCAACCTCACGTGATGTCATGAGCTTCAGCCAATCAGAGCAGGGCATAGGTTGAGGTCACTGGGTAAATTTTATTTTTTGTTTTTTTGCATTTTTTCTCAGAACAAATAATCGCGCAGTTTGCAGAACTAGTTTCTGTCTGACGTCCATATTCGCGTGTTGTGTTCTTCGTCTTCTTCGCTGGGTATTGGCGCGCGGGCTGTTTCGCGTCATTTCCGGTTCGTTTTATCGTGTGATTTTTCGTGACAAAACGTGGTTTGTAGACAAGATAGAATCGTTGGGTGACAAAGATGTTGTTAACTCGTGTCCTGTTGCGGATCAATCACACTATTTCGTGTGATGTGAACAGCTCAACAACTTGAACGCTCCTGATTTCACTGAGAGCAAGTCATGTTGTGTGAACCGCACAGTTTTCGACGTTTTAAAATCACACTGTAAAAAAATATTGTTGGTTTAACTTAAAGTAAGTAACCTGGTTGCCTTAATTTTAAGTTCATTGAACTGGAAAAAGTGAGTTAATACAATGAAGGAGATTAATTTAATCATCAGAAACTCAAAATAATAAGTTATCTCAACTAAATAAATTATTATGAAGTTGATTTGACAAAAGAAAATATGTTGTGATAACAAATCTTGAAAAGATTTTTTTTTACAGTGCATGTATCACTAAAATGAATGTTTAAAACCACTTAACTGTCACCGTCCCACAGGTGGGACGTTTGCCACTATATTTTTAAAACAATAATATCTTAGTAAATACCTTAAATAATATTGACAAACTATATATCATTTGAAAGCTTACAATCTCTAGTTTCCATATTTGGTGACTGATTTTCAAAATATATTACAGAGAAGCCATAATTTATCAATATGCAACAAGAATATTTTCATACTCATAAGGCGTGTTCAGACCTTTATTTTAAAATAGCAGTAAACATGAAAAATCATGAAAAAATGGTAGAAACCTCAGTTTGTTTTCATGCCAAAAGTTCAAAAGATAGAATCCATTCAATTATTTTGGAAAAAAAAAGGTCTGAAAAGTTTGAAATATCAAGAAAAAAATAATTAATTCACCATTTGTGACGTGGCAGCTAGCTATGACTTACATGCGTGTTCTTTGGATGTGTTTCTTTCTTAGAGGTTCAATTCATTTCATAATCTGCCAAACTTCCCATACTACTTCTGAATAGGATCTCTACTTCAGAAGTTGTATGAAAATTGTGAAAATAATACTTCATATCACTCAAAACATGAATGGAAATGCAGGCGCCCTTATATGGGCAGTAATGGAGTCTGATTGTGCCCTAGTGAAAAAGTTTGGTACTGCGCTCAAACAAAATCTTACTGAAAGCTCATTTTTTGAGATATCAACCTAAAATTTGAAACACAACTTGTTCAGATTTTTGGCTTTGATCTTTCTGCCGTTTTAGAGTAGCCCAGGTTTTGAAAATATATATTTTATGTAAAATATGAATAATTAATATTTTTACATTGTACATTTCCATAAACTCAAACTTCTATAACTTTTTTTCTGTTTCACTTTCTTAATTTATTTCACTTCTACAAAAATCTGCCAAATGTCTTCTTTAAAACAAGACCAATCATATGTCTATATTCCAAAGCATTCTTGAATTACAACCATTTAAGTTCGATTATTATGTGAATAAGCAACAATGCCTGAAATATACCTGAGTTTGTGTAAACTAATTTTATTCTTTAAATTTACAGAACAGAATCAGATAAGTTGTTGGCTACACATAACTATGGTTCACTTATGCATTAATAAAAGTCACGTTCAAAGTAAATTAAACTGCAAAACAAACAAAAGAACAATTTCAAATGTTGGTCTTCATTCTGAACGTATATGTATAAGAGTGTAGCTAAATGACAGAAGTTCATGAAGGGACACATATGACACCAAATGTGCATTTAAATTGTCTTACATTTAATGAGCTGACTGACACTGCATTGTTTCCACAAGAGAGGGATATGCTGGTGTGTATGCACTTAGGTTCACTCTTATGCAATCAGTCCAATGTTCATCTGTCAGTCTTGTTCTAAATTTACATTTGATCACAGGGATATCAGAAAAGGCTGCTTCACAAAGGTAGATTCAAATAAAGCAGATGCTTTGAATGTTCTTGTAGACGCCTGAGTCTATCGCCTCCAGAGAGCTGGAAGTTATTAATCTTCAAAATAATATCCAGTTAAAATTTCAGCAACATCTCGTTGAAGAGTTCAGCTATCTTCTTTGAAATGTCATCAACGTCCATCTCCATAAAATGGTTGGCAATGAATACCCTGTACCAGAGTTAGCTATACGGCTAATTTACAATAACATCTGTGAAATGACCACAGTGTAAAACTTTTGGCACAGGCACATTTAAACTTGCCACTTTCTTCTCTTTTGAAGATTTTAAGTTTCTGCTTGAAAAAGAAGCTCTTGTGTTTGTCAGAGTCGCTCGATGGTGGAACACAGGTGAGCGCAGCCGACTTCACTCATCCACTCCAGCTAAATTCAGTTGAATACTGGCCTGAGGCTGAGGAAGACACTTCCACTGAACTCTACTTGCTTGTGAGATCCGCTGGGAGTTTGGAGTGGAAATGCTTCTGTCATGTCTCAAGCTAAAACATCTTAGAGTTTGACCTATAGCTGATCCCAGCTGACAGGGGGCTTCCTCAAAACTTTAACCAACATTCTTGCATGGTTAGGAACAAACATTCTTCCAGTAATATTTATAGAATGTTTTCTCAAAGTTATTTGAGATTTAATAATTTTCTAAAAGCTTTTTTCCTAAAAACTTTTTTTAATGATATTGTTTCAGAATGTTCAGAGAACAACTTTCCCATAATTTTTGCAAAATTTATCCCTTAAAAGAACTCATCTCACCAAAATTACATATTTAAATGATGATGCCTTAAAATAGCTTGAATGTAATTCTACACCCGTGCCTCAATTAGTATACATGGTTCTATGTAACTAGCCCCACCTCCACTCACTCACACTTCTTCACGTCTTTTATGCGTGATTCAGATTACATGATTTTTTTTTGTCTGTTACGATAGTCACTGTGTCAGATTACGCGATTCTGACTCCTAAAATCTTGTCGTGTCGTGGACAAGACACATGTCAGACTAACCGTTGCTTCCTGACCAGTCATCGCATGCCGTCTTTAACGGCGCGTGTGATGTCATCGAGAAGGCGAAACTAGAAGCGAGTGATTTCCGCCGGAAACGAACGTAAACAAACAATGGATGAAGCGGTGAGTGTTGTATGGCTGTCCTGTGTTCAGAAAAAAAGAGAGAAAACCCAACAATGGACACGTTCCTGGATTGCTCGAAGAGGACAGTATGGGCTGTCAATCCTCCAAAGAGAACTTGAGGTAAAATATTGTTTTCTTATGTTTTTATAGCGTTTAGCCATTTTTGAAAGCGGTGTACGGAAAAGCTTCTGTGCTCCTATTGGTCAACCTCATACATGTGACGGAACCGTCGTGGACGACCGTTAATAAAATTAAACTTGCTAGTCTTTTGTTGTGATGTCGTGAAGCATCGCGGACGCGACGTAGGTTGTTGCCTACTATGACACACTATGCGAGATGATACGATTAGGGTGACCAATCCTGTTTTCCCAAGACATGTCCTGTTTTCATATAACAATATAACAATTTTCTATCCATACAGAGGAGACATAACCTTCTTTAAATGTATTGAAACTAATAAGGTATCTTTGAGTAAACTTCAAGTATCATTTGAGTTGGCCCATGTGTTTGCTGGGCCGAGTGTCCTGGTTTTTGGTAATCAAAATATGGTCACCAGGTATGATCGAATCTTGCGTCTCGACGCACGTTGTCGTTAACGAATCCCTACGAAAATTGTGCCAAAATCGGGCTAAAATCGTGTAATCTGAACCAGGCATAAGTTTGTCAAAAGATTTAAAGTACCGTGTTTGAAGAGTGCGCATGTGCGAACGTGCTCTACTATGTAAGAATGAGCCAAATACTGAGTCTGATAATAAAGCAGAATAACTGAGAACAATTTGAAATAGTCCTCAGATGACATGTCTGTAATTTATATTAACAAATCTAGCGTTAATTGGATCTCAAACAGCTTCATTAAAAGTAGTTATTTCTCCACCACATACGAAACCAACGTGGTTGAACGATACTTTGCGACAGTGGGTTTCGGGAAACAGTCGTGACTAGCTAGTGGATTTCTCCAACGATGCATCGTACTATGGTAGTGAAGCAGCGAGTTACATCGTTGTACGGGAAACGCACCCCAGATTGGTTACAAGGTAGTTTGTGGTCAGAAACAAGCAATTTAAAACCGTGTTTTTGAGACTGTCTTTGGTTCACTGCAGTTTTAAGGAGAAAATACTGAGTAATAGTGCTGGCTCATGAATTTATACTTGTTTGTCTTAAAGGAAATTAAAAACACCACATAGACAACAATATTAAAAGCTTGATGTTCACCACAGGAGGACTTTAAAACATTTAATAAAGCAGATTATAATTTTGTGCACCCTCATACCTTTCCATATTAATAGTCTTGTAAACTCCCTTTAACTATAAACCAGTTCCTTAATGAAATCATCATCTCATTTTGGTGGAAAACAAAAGCACAGTAGGTAAAATATGTATATTACGTATATCTCATTGCACAACAACACAATCTGTATTCAATGCCAGTGATTTATTACCAAGCAGAATGAATGATCCAGCCACCAATAAAGAGCAAAGCAATGTACGATATTTTGTCAGCCTGTCAGATCTTTGCATAGACATCTAAAAAATCTGCTATAGGAGCTGGAATCGATTTTTTTTTGCGTTTCCATTAAAATTCACTTGAGTCAGATCTCTGGCACACAAAAAGCCTAGTATCTGAAAGAGTCCTGCATATTTTTAAAGAAAAGCATTCAAAAAACCTTGTATGGAGGCATTTTTATAGTTTTCATGTATGGTTGTACACCTCAAAAAAAAATATTTCTGCTGATTGTTCAATTAAAATGAAATAATGCAACTCATTTATACGTAAATCAACGAAAATGTGTTGTTGGGACTACATGAAGTAATTTAGTTGCATTACCACAGCATGCATTGAATTGAACTGGGTCTAGAAAGTGAATGTTGAAAATAAGTATATAAAGAATAAAGAAGTGTGTGTCAGTGAATAATTGTACGAAAAATAACTATAACACTACAGCTCCATACAAAGTCTCTGTAGTCACTACAGCATCCTCTGTCAACGTTTAGCCATTAAAATGAGCTGTTTTTAAAAGGGCCAAAAATGATAATGCTGACATTGAGTTTAGCCTACACTTATAAGAAACTGTTGTTTCTTTGCTTATACCCTTTCACGAGATCGTGTTGAACAAATGACAAATGGAGAATATGATGTGCACAACTTGATGTAGATAACAAATATGAAGACTAGAGAACAATTTGTTGATTCCTTTACCATGCAACTTGGTATCATAAACATGAAGAGCAAAGAGACTTCTTATTCATCATAAAACACAGTCAACCGTTTCAGGATCTATTTAAAAGTCTAATAAAGAAGGTATTAAATCTTATTTAATAGGGCCAATTGACAAAACATCATCAAAAATAGAGAGCTAATCATTGTTGCCAACATGAGGCTTGAAATAATGATATCTTCGGTATGCTTCGCTCTGTCTCATCGAGAGCTCATTAAAATTAAAATGAGAGTATGAAACACTAAAGCCATATTCATGTATCTCTGTAATGGTGATTTGCAGAAATGTGATACAACATATAAATTAATAATACAATCATTTAAAACAAGTCAAGACTGAAAAACACTGAAATGTATAGGCATTCACACCAATAATAACAGAAAACCGTTACGGCTGTCAATTGATTGCAATAAATAATTTCACTCATATAGCGTTGCTTTTAGTATAAAAAAAATTCATCGTCTCTAACCTAAAACTCTCATTTGAACCTTGAACCGTTTGGTTCCCAATAAAGTCCATTATATGGAGAAAATCCTGGAATGTTTTCATCAAAAACCTTAATTTCTTTTCGACTGAAGAAAGAAAGACATGGACATCTTGGATGACATGGGGGTGGGTAAATTATCAGCAAAAGTTTTTTTCAAAGTGAACTTTTCCTTTAACAAGAACCGACAAAGACTAACTGAACAGAAGGAGACTAAGGCCCTGTTTACACGAGAACGCTCGCGGGTGAAAACGTAAAAATATTTTACCGGATGTGCCTTTCGTTTACACGGCAACGGCGTTTTTGACGCTCCACCGCCGCGTTCCCGTGTAAACGGTAAAAACGCAAAAGTCTGCTTGACAGTGAAGGTTGTACGCAAGCGCGTGGACTTGGTGTTGTTGTAGTATGCACACCTAGCCGCCTGAAGTGCATACTACATTGAATTTCACACACTTTTGTGTCACCATTTGCACGCGGATTTCCCACACAAACCGCTCGTCTAAACGCAGAATAAAAAACGCCACTTTTGCGTTTTCTCTTCAGAATCGTTTCCGTGTAAACATAGCCTAAATACAAGCAATAATCAAACATAATGTGAAAACAGGTGACACGGATGAAGCAAACGATGAACAGGCTGGTAAGTGAGGGAGTGAGTTCAGGTGTGGAGACGAGGAGGATTCTGGGAAGTGTAGTGCAAGTGTAGTGGGTTTTCTTCTGCGTTGTGTTTGATTTTTAAAGAAAGAGATCCCACACAGTGATGTACTTTAGTTTTTCTTTACTCTCAGCCTTGCTGTGTCTGTGTCAAAAGAAATAACAGACACGATCACAGTCAAGCACATTTTGGACATTTCCGGTCTAGCCGTGCCTCTCGCCACAACATCCAGCGAAAGAGAGCTTAACAATCATAGAAATAAATGAAGTAATAAAAAGAAAGAAAAATAAGAAATATAGAAAACTGACAAAAGTAAATGATCCATTTACATACCTGTGTCAAAAGAAATAACAGACACGATCACAGTCAAGCACATTTTGGACATTTCCGGTCTAGCCGTGCCTGTCAATCAACACACTACAATGTAAATTCATATACAGAAAATACATTTGAACATCGCATGGATCCTTCAAAATAAACAAATATAACTTTACACAATTACGAATATATAACTCAAATTAAATTCAACTGTACAGGTTAACGAAAAATATATTGTTCTAAACTCACAAGCATACCGCACGTGTAACTGCGGTCATTAATCGAATACTTCGATCAAACATACTCTTATCACATTTATAACCCATCTTGTTGATTGCTCAGTACAGAAAAGACAACGATTAAACTCATCACCTACAGAAAATCCTTATACAACACTCAATAAGACATATTTATACACTTCTCCGGGGAGCAGATAAAAACGTACCTCTCGCCACAACATCCAGCGAAAGAGAGAGCGCGCACGCGCAGCTTACGTAATAGTGCTTCCTTAATTTAGTGTAAAAATATTTATCAAGAGTGAAACCAAAAGTAATACAAAAAAAATAACAATATACATGTATGAAGAATTGAAAACAACGCAAATTATTAAATTTATGAACACCTAACCATTAACAACTGTGGAGTTTCCAAAACAAAGGTTTTCAAAATAAGAGTCCCGTAAAATAATACTGTTCTTGATTAAATTATGTCAATAATCTAGTGTAACAACATTTACTCGTCACACAAGGACAGACTGGTGCAGAGGAAGACTGTGACACCCTGGTCGCAATATCCTGCAATGTGAATTCTTAAAAGTCAAAAGTCTGGCTGTATGATGAATCCAAAAGCAAAGTCATTTGAAATAGTTTGTCAGAAGCTCTTTCCCTTCTTTGTCAATCAGTTGCACTCGTTGATTCAACAGCCGTGCTGTCATGCCCGCTGCCCTGCTGTCATAAAAATATCATGAGTGTCTGTTTGCTTGTTCCAGATCCAGCACTAGTCATTTCAAATAGGTTCAAAGCCATCTCGTCTGTAGTGTGAGTCACAAAGAGGAACTCAGCGGGCATGTAAAATGTGCTCTACAATATGCGTTCTCAAGGAAAGACAGATACTTTGACATGAAGGTCCAGAGGAAAGGACTAAAATACAGCAGTGGATTTGCTGGATGATCTAGCAAACCCTGAGGCAAGTTTCAGCCACAACGTCTGTTTCCCACTGTGGAAGGAGAAACATTGCCTTCAGCTTCCCGGGAAATCACACTGAGAACCAAAACCAAAGCCGAACAACTGGGGAAAAGCTACTGTCCCTGAACACACTCGACGGATCCAACGGTTCCATGGATCAAAGAGGCTAACTTCTCAATTGGGCCCAAACTAAGAGGTGAGTAGTCACTGTATCTCTACAAAAACCAAAAATAAAGCATTATGTTTAAACAGAGAAAATGCTGCCTGAAAGGATTAGTTCACCCCAAAAAAATGAAACGTTAGTCATTAAAAAAACTTTTGCTGATAATTTACTCACCCCCATGCCATCCAAGATGTCCATGTCTTTCTTTCTTTAGTCGAAAAGAAATTAATGTTTTTGATGAAAACATTCCAGGATTTTTTTTCCATATAATGGACTTCAATGGGAACCAAACGGTTCAAGGTCCAAATGACAGTTTCATCAAGTGAAACGATCGCTCATTTAATTAAAAAAAATATAACAAAGTTTAAGTTTTATAAGCGCACATGGTCGCCTTGCTCTGTTCTGTGATGCGCGTTCGTGAACGAATCAAAATGAACGAATCTTTCAACTCGTTCATTTCGTTTGTTGAATTAACCAAATGACATGAAAAAAGATTTGTTCATTTTGATAAACGAGTTCGAACAGGTGAGTCACACAGAACAGAGCAAGGCGACCATTTGAGCTGATAAAACGTGAACTTTGTTTTGTTTTTATTTATTAAATGAGCGATCGTTTCGCTTGATAAGACCCTTATTCATCGTCTGGAATCATTTAAAGCCCTTTGAACAGTTTGCACTGAAACTGTCTTTTGGACCTTGAACCGTTTGGTTCCCATTGAAGCCCGTTATATGGAGAAAAATGCTGGAATGTTTTCATCAAAAACCTTAATTTCTTTTCGACTGAAGAAAGAAAGACGTGGACATCTTGGATGACATGGAACTTTCGTTCCTCTTCGAAACACAATGAAACCTGAGAGATTTCTGTCCCTCATTGACAGCTATGCAACAACCACTTTCAAGCCCAAAAGTAGTAAAAATATCATTCAAGGAATCCATGTGATTCCAGTGGTCCCACGGCGCATGCGTGTTGTGGTGACGTGAGAGCAGACGTTGTTTTGTGAAGACGTGTGAATTGGCCTTTAAAATGTTTGTCTGTTGTATTGCATCATAAGGAGGGCAATGTAAAGGAGAAATGAGTTGCTGTGATTTACGTGCCACAGTCTGTTAAAATCTATCCCACGCAAGTCAAATGACCTTTTGCCACCACCAAACACAGTGAGCCAACCGTCAGCTCAATTACTTTTTAAGTCCCCCTGTAGTGAATCAATTTATCCCTTAAAACTCATCTTTGGTCACCAAAATTACATTTAAATCTTTGAAAAAAATCTATTCATGCCTTAAAATAGCTTGAATGTACAGTAATTCTACAGCCCTGCCTCATTTAGAATTTGCGGTTTTATGAATATGCAAATTAGCCCCGCCCCCACTGACTCGCACTACCTCAGAGATCCACTCGTTGACGATCACACGTTGACCTGATTGGTTACAAGGTTTGTGACATTACAAACACCAGCGATTCACTGCAGTTTTAAAGAGAAAATACTCAGCAATCATGTTGACTCATGAATTTGCACATGGTTTGTCTTATAAACAACATTAGAAGCTGGATTTTCACCACAGAGGGACTTTAAACAAAACACCTTTTGATATGGATGTGATATGAAAATCTAAATCAAAGTGATTAGTAGTAATCATAGTCATAATATTCCATCTTTTTTTATTTGTTGCATTGCACGTTATAGCTCAACACTTGCGCAGCTATGCACGGATTCACACACTGATAAAAAATGATTTTGTGGTGAAGTAAATACTACAGAAAAAAAACGATGTAATTTACATGAAAAAAGTTAGTTCAGGCAAGAATTAAAAAAAAATTAAATTCTGTACTAGTTCTCAATTCAATCGTGTAGAAATGAAAGCGTAAATATCAACATTATAAAATTAAACAAAATAACTCAACTTTTCTGATACTGGTGTTCCCATCATGCACTGGGCCATGAATAATTAATGAGGTTTATTTTTCAATGTTCTCCAGCTGTATTTACATTATTTTATCATTGCTTTTGTTGTTAGGGTTAGTAATTTGCCATGTTGTGACATTTGGAGTTCATTATCTACTTAAAATGACACATTCAAACACAAAAACGATCAATCAAATCAATGTTACCGTCATTGTGTAGCCTATTGTCTACCAAGTACTGAGGTCTGCGTTCACACTTTCAATATCAAAAATGTAGATGTGATGACACGCACTATGTATTGATTACTTAAATATTTCGGAATAAATCATATACTTAAAAAGTGTGGTCTAATTCAATGTTATATTGTTTAAGCAAACTGTTGTTCAAAGAAATTTTCAATTAAATAGAATAGATAGTACTTAACCTTTAATTAGCTTTCACTTAACTTGGTTAAGAATAGTTTACTTAATTCTATGTGTGAAATTTACCCGAAAAATATCAGTGCAAAAACTTGCCTTAAAAAAGTAAATTTTACTCTTTAAAAAATTTTAAAAGTTTAAATTTTACTTTAGTAAAATTGTTTTTTTCACAGTGCATTTGAAGTTTGTCACTTCAAGCAAAAATGACAATATGCACAGGTAAAGGACAAAAAAAATATTGTGTTTAATAGCCTTAATTTCTTAGTTGTTTTCATTTACTCTTTTTTTGTTCAAAAGAAGAATGAAACTCATACAGGTTTAGAAAAACTTTTTTTTGTTGCTGTTGACAATTTTCATTTTTGGGTGATCTATCCCTTTAAGGTGTGCTTGCACTTACACACTCTCTCTTTGTATTTCTGAATCAGAAGAAACCCTGGAGCTCTTGTTGCACAGTTCAGGTATCTCATTGGCTGTGAAAGATGTCCAAACAATGACAATTTAATCCACTCATGTAAAAACAGACCATTGAGAGAGCACGAGTCTGCTTTAATATCACAGCAACCGCTCATGCATGCCAATAAACCAGCTTATGTGTGTGAAATGCAGGTAGCGCATTCTTCACAGCCGCACAGAGACAGAAATAAAGAGAAGGAACGAGAAAGATATGACAAATCAAGAGAGAAGGAAAAAATGCGGGGTGGATTCTGTGCACGAGCGATTGAGAAAGGGAAGTGTAGAGAAGAAAAACACACAAAGCATGCTGCATTTGTAGCTGAATTAATTCATGCCTCTGGCAATAACAAAGCAGAAACAAGCTGATAAGTTCTGACAAGGTGAACGGGCCGCGGCTTTACTGCAGTCATACCTACATTTAAACGTACACACACACACAGGAGCAAACATACAAAGAATAAAAATAGAGAAAACAAGAAAAACAAAGGCATGGAGTTGCACCTGCTGCAAGCACTGGTTATTTGTACGCGCTAACTGCATCTGGTTCACTGAAGACAAATGCACAAATATCTATTTTAAATAAGAAGCTTTTCTGATAGTGGAATTTTGTAAACAAGAATCAAAACTATCTAAAAAAAAAAAAAACTGGGACAGTACCCTAAGGTACAAAAGTGAAAAGGTTACATCTTGTACCTTACCCAGATAGCAAGCAACCAACAAAACAATGTTAAATCAATGTGCCAATGTTAACCACTTTGAATCAACATCACTTTTGCACGTGCAATTAATGTTTTTTGAATCACTGAATCAATGCTATAATGTGATGTTGGTTCAACATCATGCTTGCACTCTCAGAAAATGAAACTTCAACTGACTTAAAGCAAAACTTGCAGCCTGATATCAACTGCTATAGACAAAGAATCTCTCAAGATCTCAGCAGAAGTTCGTTGTGAGAATTAACAGAGGTTTAGATGTTGTCTATGTCACCATTATGGTGATCAGTGTTTCATTTATTTTGACAGTTTGACTTTTGGCTTATGCAAGTTTGTGGTCTTTGAATCAGTGTTCATCAAAACATATAATTTGTTGCAAAGGAAGCCAGAAACAAATATGATCTGGTGATATGGTTTTCCTCATCATAAAATAGAATATTAAAGGGATAGTTCACTTTGAAATTAATTGTTGATATGTTTTATCTTACCTCAAGGGCATTTATGATGTAGGTGTCTTTGTTTCCACAGTAGTTTCAATTTTGATATTTTTAGATCAAACCGTTTTTGTCTGTCAGTCATATAATGGAGCTCTATGGTCACCACCTCAAAAAGCATGCACAGAGAAGTCCAAATTAATCATGATTTAATGACTCGTAAATAGGGTTGGGTATCGTTTGAATTTGAACGATTCTGATTCCGATTCCGATTCCTTGTTTCGATTCCGGTTCCTAACGATTCTCGATTCCGATTCTTTTAAGAGGCAGGGTCAAAAAAGTTTGCCTAACCTTGCTAACCAACGGCCTTTCTGAAGGAAATAATCCTGTCACAAATACTCCTTTTGTCACAAATTTTGCATTTTGCCGAGATTTCGTTATTTGCCGAGATTTCGTTATTTTTAGAAAAGTGAAGCCACACTTTGGATCGCCGACGTAAGCTACTCATGTTCGACTCGCGTGGTTATGTCAACACTTCCGGTAGACGCTTCTTTGTTGGTGTTGTTCAGCGGTTTCTTCTTCCGCTCGGCGGACTGTGAATATCGAAACTAGGAATCGAAATTTTAACTTTTGAACGATTCCGGGAAAAACTAAAAGTTAGTCCCGGTTCCAATCGATACTCGATTCTCGATACCCAACCCTACTCGTAAATGTAAGTACACATTGATGGCCTAAGACACGAAACGAGCATTTTTTTGTGAGAAAACGAACAGTATTTATATCGTTTTTACCTCGTGTAATCCAAGTGATCTGAATCAGTTGTGCAATGTCCAACTGAACCGAACTGAATCAGTTCAATGTTACGCCGGAAGTGATCGCTTGCGTGTGACGTCAATCAATATTTACACGGAGATTTCTGAAGTTTTACCTTTTACTAAACATATTTAGATATACCGAAATCGTCTTCCATTGCCGTTTCCCGTATATCTAGATATGTTTAGTGAAAGGTAAAACTTCCGAAATCTCTGTATAAACAAAGAGTGGCGTCGGCGCGCAACCGATCATTTCCAGCCCATGTGTAGACCGAAGCGCCCGTGCCGTCAGATCATTTTGTCATGGCTGTGATTACAAAAGGGAAAAACGATGTAAATACTGTTCGTTTTTTTCACACAAACCACTCGTTTGGTGTCTTAGGCCATCAATGTGTACTTACATTTACGAGTCATTAAATCATGTTTAATTTGGACTTCTCTGTGCATGCTCTTTGAGGTGGTGACCATAGACCTCCATTATATGACTGACAGACAAGAACGGTTTGGCCTAAAAACATCAAAATTGAATCTACTGCGGAAACAAAGACACCTACATCTTGGATGCCCTTGAGGTAAGATAAAACATATCAATTCATTTCAAAGTGAACTATAATAGTTCGTATAAAAGTATATATACGCCCCTTTAAAAAGGAGGCGTGTCTGTTATGTATAGCTTAAAGGGTTGGTTCACCCCAAAATGAAAATTCTGTCAGTAACTTCTCACATGGTTCTGTGTTGTAGTAGGTCACACGCATCACACACATGACCAGCTTTGGCCAATAGTGAGCCTACGTGTGACGTACAACACAGAACCGTTGCACAGTTACAGTACACTACATACACTATCTACACTCTAAAAAATGCTGGGTTGTTTTAACCCAATTTTGAGTCAAATATGGACAAACCCGAAATGTTGGGTTAAAAATGTAATGTAAAAATTTAACCCAACGGCTGGGTTAGTCCATATTTGACCCAAAGTTGGGTTCAAACAACCCAGCATTTTTTAGAGTGTAGAGGCCCACTGAGAAAGAAAGTTGAATAAAGTCGTTATTTTTGTTTGTTTTTTGTATGCAAAAAGTATTCTCGTCACTTGATAAATTTAAAGATTGAACCACTGTAGTCACTTGGACTATTTTAACGATGTTTTTAACTTTTCAGGGCCGGGGGAGTGATCCAGCTCTCAGATTTAATCAGAAATATGTTAATTTGTGTTCTGAAGATGAACGGGGTTGAACAACATGAGGGTGAGTAATTACTGACAGAATTTTAATTTTGGGGTGAACTATCCCTTTAAGTTATTTTTTTCTGTGAAACATGATTAAAGAATGTTAATGCAGGTGTCACACTTTCTATAAACTTTCGAAAAGTCGTTTTGTGTTGCACTGAGAAGCAACAGGAAAAAGCAAATTCAGAGCTTTAGCTAACGTCGTGGCAAGGTTCTCTAAAAGTTGTTTCAGTGACATTGATTGAATGTAATCTGGTCTTTAGGCTAATAATGTTCTCAAAACATTAGCTCAATCATCCATCGTTTATGGTGCTTTTCTTCTGAAACATTTTAGGATGTTTGGGCAACATTCAAAAGTAATGATCCTAATGATTATTTACATAGCTTTATGTTTGTGGTTTGGAGCCACTAGCCTATATGTCGTCTCATTAACTTTAATGGATGCTTTAGAGAACGTCCCCCCATGCAGAGATACGTTTACCTGGCTATCTTTCTCCACACACACTCATATTTTTAACTGTACTTTGTGATGAATAGCGACATAAATCACTGCTGACAGCCCGGTAAAACCTAAACTCCCATCCAAAAAAGACAGCATGTAAAATTAAGAGATGTAGAGAACAGCAATAAATCTCTCTTGGCTAACCCTCTCTCTCTTTCTCTCTGGGAACAAAGTCATCAGTAACTCTTCCACTCTGTCCACTTTATCAGGTATGGTTTTTATCTCAGACAGTCCATCATTCTTTCTCTTTCTTTATTTGTCCATCCCCTCTCTCCTGTCAGTTCTTCACATTGAGTAAAACTTAAGACAAAATGACAGTATATGTCACAGCCAATCAAAACACATTTGATGTTCTATACTGTTATTTGGAGCAGGTAAAATAAAAATCACAGTGTTTGGGACTATTTCAGTGCGACACAGCAGAAGAATGATTGATCTTGAAGACTTCAGGCCTACGCATTATGGATCAGGGAACTCAACTGACAAGGCTTCATACAGACAGCATGTGACAATACACTCTCAGAAAAAAAAAGGTACAAAAGTTGTCACTGGGGCTGTGCCTTTTCAAAAGGTACACTTTTGTACCCAAAGGATGCATATTGGTACCTTAGTGGTACATTTTAGCACCTATAATGTACATATTAACACCTAAAATGTACATATTAGCTCCTGAAATGTACATATTAACACTTAAAATGTACATATTAGGACCTAAATTGTACATATTAGGACCTAAAATGGACATATCAGCACCTAAAATGTACATATTAGGACCTTAAATGGACATATTAGCTCCTGAAATTTACATATTAGCTCCTGAAATGTACATATTAACACCTAAAATGTACATATTAGCACCTAAAATGGACAATTAACACCTAAAATGTACTTATTAGCACCCAAATGGACAATTAACACCTAAAATGTACTTATTAGCACCTAAAATATACAAATTAACACCTAAAATGTACATATTAGCTCCTGAAATGTACATATTAACACTTAAAATTTACATATTAGGACCTAAATGGACATATTAGCACCTAAAATGTACATATTAGGACCTAAAATGAACATATTAGCTCCTAAAATGTACATATTAGGACCTAAAATGGACATATTAGCACCTAAAATGTATATATTAGGACCTAAAATGGACATATCAGCACCTAAAATGTACATATTAGGACCAAAAATGGACATATCAGCACCTAAAATGTATATATTAGGACCTAAAATGGACATATCAGCACCTAAAATGTACATATTAGGACCTAAAATGGACATGTTAGCACCTAAAATGTACATATTAGGACCTTAAATGGACAGATTAGCTCCTGAAATGTACATATTAGCTCCTGAAATGTACATATTAACACCTAAAATGTACATATTAGCACCTAAAATGGACAATTAACACCTAAAATGTACTTATTAGCACCCAAAATGGACAATTAACACCTAAAATGGACAATTAACACCTAAAATGTACTTATTAGCACCTAAAATGTACATATTAGCACCTAAAATGTGCATGTTAGGGCCTAAAATGGACATATTAGCACCTAAAATGGACATATTAACACCTAAAATGGACAAGTTTACCTTTTGAAAAGGTACAGCCCCAGTAACAGCTTTTGTACCTTTTTTCTGAGAGTGTACGGTTGAATTTACAGTTCTCAAAAAAGCGATAAGGCAAAAAAGTACCCGGATGCCCTCCTATTTTGGGTGAGAATCTGAAGTGTGCATACGATTGACTCTTTACTATCCTATGAGGCCATGGGAGAGGATTTGTGAATTTGCAGTGAAAGTGACATGACAAATGTACGTCCGGATTACCTTCATACTATATCGAATGGACCTTTTCGAGGTTGGCAAAGCAAGTACTCATTCAAAATAAGTATCTTGTCAAAGGCCACTGTCTGTATGAGTGAGTCCTTCAAAAATGCACAACTGATTTGTTCAATGACACTGATTCATTCAGGAACAAAACAAACGACTTTCTTTATGAATGAGTCATTGGATCATTCACAATAGGCTATTTGTTCAAAATTCAGGAAGCAAAAGGATTGAGTGAGTCATTGAATCGATTCATTCAACAACACTGAAACAGAACAAAACAAGTGGCTTTCTTTATGAATGAGTCATATCATTCACAGCTGATTCCTTCAAAAACACTGATTCGTTCAGGAACGCCATCGTTTATTCTGCTGTCTTTTTAAAAAAAAAAAAAATGTTATTGTCTTAAATAGTCAAGCTATTTATCTAAGTTACCTGATATTATATTCTTTCTGATTTTATTCAGAAAGAATAAAATTCTTCTGATATTCTGATATTATATTCTATTTAAGTGTTGTATAAGCAATAACACAACTGAGCTGTTAATTGGTCATGCTATCGTTTCCATTCTTTATTGTTTGGTTTTCAAATTTCAAATAAAACTCATCTTGACTGACTTAGATCAGGAATTAAGATGTTATGAATATTTGTTTTAATCAGTAAAAAAATAAACCGTAAATTTTATGGTAAAAAAACGGCAGCTGTGGTTGCCAAAACTTTACCGTTAAAAAATACGGTAGGAACGTTAATGGTTTTACAAACTTAACTTCAAATTTACAGTAATAAACCTTATTTTATTTTCTGATAAAATGTTGATTTACCAACTTATTGACATATTTATATCTTTTTTGTACCATTGTAATACACCGACAACCACCAATCATCACAGCAGTGATGAGAGTTATATGAGCAAACACAGCTCATACTGATTTCAGTAACACTTATTTAAAGAAGCTGCACAGTCTCATTCACACAAACATTAAACACCATTATGGTAACACACATGAAATTAACATTAAATGTAACATAAAACCCTAATGTACATAACTGATTAGAAAAAACAAAACAATAAAACTATGAGGAACAGGGAATTGTGGGAATATCAATTTACGTTTTTTCACTGTAAGTTATACAATGAGTTTCAAAAACTGTAAATTTAACTGTATTTTACTGTAAAATTATATTACAGTTATTTGCCGTATATAGTACGGAAACTTTCTGGTAACCAAGTAACAGTTTTGCACTGTAGCATTTTTACAGTCTTTTACCGTTAAAATCACGGCCATTTTTTACAGCTTTTGTACAGCGCAATCACTACAGAATTTTACAAATACAGTTTGTATGTGGCCGCCACTGTACATTAATAACTGTTCATATCCAAAGTTTGCCACGATAATGGAGTGCCGACATGCATGAGAACGCTTCCATGCCACAATATAACGTGCTCTCGGTATATCTACTTCACAGAGAACGAGTTAGAGGGAAAAAAAACAGCAGGAGAAAATGCACAACAAAGACACCTCTTATACCCAGAAGGGGGAAAAAACACTTTAACAGCTCAAAAAAGAGAGCAGCATCAAAAGAAAAGGATGAAAGAGGCCAGAAAGGACACAGGCGGGAACAAGCCTTCACTGCTCACATGAAAGCGAGAGGGGGAAATGATCCAGGGTGGATTCTGTGCTCCTGACTCCTGAGGTGAGATGAGAAACAAGCGTTTACACCCACATGTGTCTTTCCACTTGAACGGATTGAATGTTCTTCAGAGATTAATCACCATGATGTATGGCCACATCTCATTAATAAATGAAAAGGCAGAACAACAACAGAAGGGGGAAAAAAGACTCATTAGATGAGAAGCTATTCGGATACCAGCAGACAGCATAGCATATACTTTTATTCCAGAATTTTTAGAAAATTTTGACTTATAGGTCTGTCAATCGATTATACAGTGTGTTCTATCATTGCACATTGCACACGCATAATTCATTAAATGAATCAAGATTCAAGTAACTTTACTGACATGATAGAAGACTTTGTTAAAGCACTGGTATAGTAGTCCCCATGAAATCAAAATTGATCACACTTACTTTGTTTGCCTAAATTGATCGTTTTGTGGTGAACAATTCATACATGCAAGTCAATCCACACACAAAAAAATTTTGGGCTTCGTAATCTTTAATCAAATTTTGAAAATGCCCCTCCCCTCTGCATTTGAGGAGGTGTGTTCGACATCGCCTGCGGCTGGATGCAACCGATCGGCGAGAATAGCCGCGTGCAGGCGGGGAGGAGCTGCAAACGGAGACGTGAAGTCGGACAATTTCTGGTTCCCGTACTGACGGCTCTCACGTGGTGTTTGCATGCTTATACCACAGCTGAAGTGAAATAAATGCAACATTTGCCAAATAAACAGATATTTCAGACACATTTTCATTCAATACTTTACTGCTTCATACAGCATCTGTTTGAACTAGAATAAAGTTCAAAATAAGCCTATAATCAATGAAGTGGAGTCAACGTTTTTTAATCAGTTTTATTTTGGTAAACATGATAAACATGACACAATATAACATCGCGACTACATGAAAAGACTGTTTACTGTTATAGAAAACTGATTTGTGAGCTTTAGTGGAA